ATCATACTATGAAAACCTCAACACACACATTTGGAAAATATAGCTGATACTTTCTTTCATTTCTGAGTAGCTGATGACTGAAGAATAACATTTCACTCAGCTTTTTTACAGGAAGTACAGAACACACAACAATGTACCTCTGTGGTTTCAACTACAAATCACTGAAGCGGTTACGGACATGTTCAACAGCTTCAATCGTTCAGGCAATTTGAACCAAGAGTTCTTACCGGTTCTGTTCGACTTTTCATCCAAGTTCACCGCTTCGAAGACGATTTCCTTGGACTTACGATAGGCACAATTGAAGTTATCATAGTTCTTTAGTGGTGAATTCAACCGATGAATACCGCCAGTATTCATTGCTCTCTTCACCAGTCGCTGAAACTTACAACGCATTTTGCTTACGATTAATCAAATGAATCAAATTCAACGAATGAAACAACAAAATCGATCGCATCATGCATAGATTTGGAAAATGCAAATTTACTCTTCATTCTACTGTACTTTTATAAAACCTCCAAATATGCTGTCGGATCGAGTTTACGACAATTTGCACCGTGAAAGTCTATGATAACTCGTGCGTGCCTCATCATTGAGTAGCATGGTGTCTTTTGTTCGGGTTAGACTTGCCGTAGATGCACTTCTCGGTCAACCCCCCCCCCCCTTATTTGAAGTATTTCTCATCAAATTCATTGCAGTGGAAGTAAAACATATGCGAAAAACGCATAGGAAAAGCGCGGTCACGAGCAAAATAATGCCGGCAGAAGTGCCGAAATTCACATTTCTGAACACACATAATACGCGAGTTCTGTCACCTGACGAACTATCACTGCGTACTTGGCGAATTGTGTGTATACGAAGATAAGCCGAATGCGTAAAACAAGCTAAACGGGATTCATCAAAAAGCGTTAAAAAAAAGCCAAATTCAGACCAGCATATCCTATGGATTTTCGTTTTTCTTTCCAATTTTCGTGATCTTCTGTTGAATTCACATCATGTCATAGCTTCTGAAATGTTGAGTATTCGTGTCATTCCTCATAAAAATGACTTTTTGTCGTTATTCACGCCAGAATTTGTCGGTATTTGTCAGTTGGTGTTGTTTCAGATTCAATGAGAAGTCGAACATCTCAACGTACCAGAACAAGTATCAGTAATGATATTTCCAACGGTCCAGTTTGCGATCACGGTTTGAGTAATGGTAACGGGGATGAACCGATGGATGCAGTTAAGATGGAACACAAGTCTGAAATTAAGGTTGTTTGTATCCTATTTCTTAACGAATCCATATTTTTCTCTACACCTTTTCCGAATACATTGATACCTTTCAGTTCATCATTTTCTAATCCTTTCATACATTTTGGCAGGTCACAACTCTTGAGTTTCAGAAAGTCTCAGATTAATTTTGCCAATTCTGTTGGCACCTTTTTCGATTAACCTCTAATACATAGTGCTATCCTAATGAATCTGAACACACTTTTTTATGCATCTGATGATAAGATGAATATAAATTGTATTCCNTTGTATCATATGATTGGTTTTCATTATCATTAGAAAATAACTGCCCATACAGGTTAATGGTACACCTCGTTCGTTGAAGCAACAGAAGAAAGATATGATGGATATGATTTTAAAGGATCGGTTGAAAGCGCTTAATGACAGGTTATTTGCTTTATTATCTCTTCTCAAATTTGTGAATTGTCTTTAGCACGTGAAACTTTATTGCAATAATCACTGCATTATTTGCTTATAAACAATTGGAATGATTGCATTCCTTTTAAATGCTAGGTTGGAGGGTTTATCCTTCCTTTATTCCATTCAGTCGATCAAGTTCCCTCTGAATCCTCAACGAGAACATCAGAAAGTTTTCGGATACTAGAAAGTTGAGCACAAAATTAAGATGGAATCCAGCCTTGGAAATGGGATTACATACCTGAATTACCTGGATTGGCCAGGCTATCAAACGTTCGTAACGTTACTGGCCACAATGCTCGCGTTTCAGTTCGCATTGTTTTAGCCTTGATTGACGCCACCCCGCTGGCTAGGCGAGCAGGCCAACCGAACACAACCGAGTAATTGATTAGTTGACGTGAATACTTTGCATAATTAAACATAGCCAAATACCAATCCAGTAAATAATCATAACTCTAATAAAACAAATATTCCACGATCGTTCACAGCGATTGACAAAACAACCACTCGATGTCCAAGTAACAAATAAAAAAAGGGTGTAGGTAGCAAATTACATAGGTTTAGCAAATGATAGCATTTATTTTCAGCGCGCATAATGAAGCGGATTTGAGCATCGATAAAAGTGATTCGATCAGTAACGATGCTGAATCAACGACACAACTCATTGAGAATGCTAGTACCTCGAAAGATGGTACAGTCCAACAAAATGCGGTATGTTTTGATGAATCCCCTCAATTATGTCTCAGAATTACTCAGAAGTCCTCAAATATTCATTAAAATCTTATAGAAAGTAGCCCAAATTTACATTCCTTTAATCCTGTGACATTTAATTACATCGGTAAGGTAAATTTTTTGAAGAGTTCGTATTGAACCGTTCAGAATAATCGAAGAATGTTTTGTATGACGATTATTGCCCTTGTGTTTATTGCTGGTGTTCGTTGATTCTTACGAAAACGTCAATCCGTTATTAATATTTAGTTGTTCATTAATTCCTTATTATGATTAAGAAATTGTTCAGAGCGAAGCAGGTGACCATAGTGCAAGGAGAGGTGAAAGTTTGGCTGTGTTACTGAGCCAAGGTTTGACGAGTGGAGATGCGGAGAAAATAGACAGCGTTCTGAGTAGAAGTGATCCGCAAACTATATCGGCCACACTGAACGAGTTGCCAGTCACGCAAATTCTGCCACTCCTGAAACAAATCGAATTTCGTTTCAGAAATCGAAAAACACTCGAGTGAGTTTGTTTTTAACCATATTTTCCCAAGTTTCAGAATTGCTGATTTTTTAGCTAGTCGTTGAGATTATCCAAAAAACTTATCACTGATATTGTTTGGAAAGTATTTTTGAAAAGGGCGTTTATATTTGGTGTAATGTTTGTTCTTCAGTGTTCGTTGTTGGGCTCGTTGGATGCAGTGCACAATCTCAATGCATGCGCCATATCTTTCTACGGTATGCGATCTCCTAATTTTTGGAATCTTTTTTTTTGTTTTTGATTTTGTTTCCGTTGATGGAACTTTTTGTAATTCCATGTTTTCGATATGGACGATTCATCATTAAGTCTTATTACTGCCATTCTTTTTATCAATATCTTCATTATTACCGTTATCATTTTTTTCAAGATTGGCTCACTGGAAAGTGAATTAGGCACGTTGTATAATTGGATGAGGAATCGATCCGCAAACATTTCCAGCTTATATAACCTTCACGGAAAGTTCACGCTACTTTTGGAGCAAATCGAACGTCGTGCCAATCCAAAATTCTTTATTTTCAATCAACCAACAGTGTTGTTCAACGGTATTTTTTTCAGAAATTTTATATTTTCTCGAAGCATTCGTCATATTTCTTTTCCCAAACATTTGATGTTGGAATTCGCATTTCTCGAACATATTCAAATATAGTGAATAGAAGTGAATCATGGATTCTGGGAACGCAAAGCAGTGAAACGTAAAAACTGGTTGTATGGAAATTATATGTGTGTGGGAATTCTCAGGCCACATTTAGTGTTGTTGAGTGCAGTTGTTTTTCTTTTTCGTATTGCTTTATAGGGATGAAACTTCAGAAGAAGCAATGAAATGTGAATTGCTTGAATAATAGAGCAGTGTTATTATTTCAGTTAGTGTGTTTTCACTGTTTGTTACTGAAATGAAGAGAGGATCATTTTGGTGTTTTTTCTTGTTTGATGGGAATTAGGAGGAATTTCCTCATCCATCGTTTAGTTTCAAGACTTGCGTATTCCAATATTTCCATGAGCTAACGTATATGATTACATGTTGTTATATGACTATGCATAGAAACTGTTTCAATCTTTTGTATTGGTACTCAACGAAAATTACTTGGCTCTTTTGATTGCTTTGCGCATGTGAATGAGAAATGACGTATGAAGCAAGTCTGAATACTTATTGGAAATTATTAATATGTAAAAATCAACTAATTACGGTTATTTTTTGTGAAGTTCTTGGTATCATAATGAGGATTATTTTGTTAATTTTTCGTTTTTTTCTCACTTCGGACATAATTATTATTTATTTGTATATATGTAA